GAATGGACTACTGTCCGCTACGCGATCCGGCCCGGGCACAACAGACTCCTGGAACGGATCTTATATTCGGAACATCGACTCGACGAATCCTGCCGCTCGGGCATTTCTCTGGAAGACGCTGAAGCGGAACTACTACGACAAGGGGATCAAGAACTTCTGGATTGACCAGGCAGACGGCGGAGCGCTAGGCGAGGCCTATGAGAATAACGGGCAGAGCTCATACGTCGAGTCCATCCCGTTCGCACTACCCAACGTCCTCTACGCCGCAGGCACCCAGCTCAGCGCAGGCAAGCTGTACCCCTGGGCGCACCAGCAAGCCATCGAAGAAGGATACCGCAACGCTACAGGCACGAAAATGGGCGAACGATGCGACCACATCAGCCTGAGCCGCTCGGGATATATTGGCTCACAGCGCTTCTGCAGTATGATCTGGTCGGGCGATACAACCTCGGTATGGGATACGCTTGCCGTGCAGGTTGCCAGCGGACTCTCCGCGGCAGCCACTGGGTGGGGATGGTGGACGATGGACGCGGGTGGGTTCCAGGCTGACCCCACGGTGGCGTGGAGCGCCAACATCGACACGCCGGAGTACCGCGAGCTGTACGTGCGGTGGTTTCAGTGGGCGACATTTCTGCCATTTATGCGAACACACGGATCGAGGAAGTGCAATGTCCAGAATGCGTACACGTGCAACAACGAGCCGTGGTCGTACGGCGAGCAGAACACACCCATCATTGTCTCGTATATCCAGCTGCGTTACCAGCTCAAGGCATATCTGCAGGCTGTATTTGAGCAGTTCCATCAAACGGGCCGGGCGATTATGAGGCCCCTGTATATGGATTTCGAGCGGACAGATCCACAGATCGCGAAGATGACGCGAGAGAACGTCAACGCCACCACGCAGCAGTACATGTTCGGTCCGAGACTGCTGGTCACCCCAGTGACGTTGCCTAATGCAACCGAGTGGGAGGTGTATTTACCGCAGACGGGTCAGAATGAGACGAAGACGTGGACGTACTGGTGGACAAACCAGACATATGCTGGTGGACAGACGGTGACTGTCCCCGCCCCGATCGCGCATATCCCATTGTTCTACCTGGGTAAGAGGGAGGATATATTGAGCGGAAGTGTTTTTTAGACTCGGCAATTTATTAGTGTCGGACTTTACGGACTCATCGCCCTACTACTTAATGTGGCTGGCGATGAACAAGTGGATAGAGATGACCGAGGGCTTGCTTGTATCGCAATACTCATCATAATCTCATGCATTTTCACTCACTACATCACTTGGAACTTTGTAGTTTCGTTCCGTCATTTTCATTGCTCACTTGGTCTGTATGACTACCACCCCGTCGCTTCAGGCGTAGGCACAGCCGCCACTAATTCCGGCACCGCCATAGCAGCCATGACATTCGCCTCAGCCGTGGGCGTAGGCTGAATCTTGATATCTCCCGTCAAAGGCACCAACGTGACAGGCGGGATATACCAGTGCGCATCACACTCCGTCCACAGCGCATCAATCTGGCGGACCGCCTCGGGAAGATCCAAGAAAGGCATGTAATCGTCCCGGATCATTGTGCAGGAAGGATCGTACAGCGGACACTGCGATCCACCCCGGTACTGCGGCCAGGGGATCAACGGCATGGTATAATTGCCCACTTCCTGGGGCATGAACTCAGCGAAATTGAACGGATACGCAGTCCCGATGGTGGGATACTTTGCGTTGCGGTGGTGTCGGACGGAAGCCACGCTGACGGGATCCACGGCAATGATGGTGTCGGTGTGTGTGTCGCCACATTGGCTTCCTGGGTGGGCGCGCCGGTTACTCCAGGCGTAGATTGAGGTAAATGAAACGTAGATGCTGGGAGAGATGAGCGTCTGCCCATTGACTACGGCGGTATTGGGGCCAGATCCGGTTGGTGTAGCAGGAATGGTGGTGCCGTTCTGCAGACATAGGTCACCGCCGGCGGTGGTCACGGGCCAGTAGAAGACAGTCGCTGTGCCGGGGAGGAAGTGGCAGTTTGTGCAGGGGTCTTCGGGGTAGGACCGCGGCGTCGAGGGACAGCTAACGGGTGGTATAGGGCTCTTTGTGTCGCCTGGAGTGACGGTGGTGACAGTGTCGTAGTATGATCTGGACAGTTCACTATACGTTGACCAGACCGGAATGCATTCTTGCGTGTTGAGGGTGCAGTCCGGCGCTGGGGGCTCCCGGTAGAGCTCAACGGTATTCGAAAAGGTGGTGGTGTACGTGCTGCAGGGCCCAGTGCCAGGATAGTACGACGTCACGGTCTCGCGAGGACCCAGGGCGCGTGGAATACCGTCGCAAAGGGTTGTCACCGGTCCAGTATGAGTATCGGAGTAGTTTTCCAGGGACGAGGAGGTTCTGCAGGCCCCCTCGCTGGTTGGATATGGGTCATAGGATATACTCGTAGCTGTTGGTCCCAGCGAGTGCAGTCCGGTGGACCGGCCAAAGTATTCAACCCACTTAGCATTGCAGGTTACAACAGGTGCTTCGGGACCGGTTGTTGGGCCATAGAAGTAGTCAGTGTATGTGGGCCAGAAGATAGACGTGTTGGAGATAATCAGCCACTGGCCACTGGTCGACGATGACGGTGATGGCTCGCTAGTAGGTGATGAACTGGGACGGATCGTGATGGAGCTGGCCGTGACAGCCAGACCCAAGGCTGAACTTGTCAGACTTATATCATCCTGGTGTATGAGCATACATACCAACGTGTGCCTGAATGACAGCAAGCAGGAAAGTCCAAAGCATGATTGCTGGTAATAAGTCGCCTGTTCACGAATTCCGCTCAGAGGAAATCAGCCTTTTAATACACTGACACCCCGCTATTCTTCAGGGTTCTGGGTCATGATGTTACTGTGATCGTGATCCACTTGAGACATAGGTGGTAGCGTGATTGGCAAGCAGCTAAAGTCTCACATTTAAAACATGCAGAATCTCCACTTAGCCATTCGATACGGGACAATTGCCAAGTCTTTACGTGCAGATCCAACACAGTCCAACGCCCAGGATTGGTCAGGATTCAGTTTGCCTACAGGGAGCTCGTATATCCAGCTTGACTCTAGCTCTGCATGAATCAGTCCTTTCAAAATCTATTACTCAACTCTCTGGCTTGCGGAACCGGATTTCCCCAAGGCTGTCAGCCCATGTCAGGTGTCATCAGATCACCTCAAGCATGGCGGCACGCTACACCTGGAATCGCCCATCTCATTTCATAAAGAAACTGATAATAGACACAACAGGTAACGCAAGGAAGTGAAGTAACGCTGAAGCATGCAATACTAGGTAGAGTCAGACTGTGCGTTCCGCCAGCGCAATAGACAATCTAAATATCTCATTCACGCGATCCCAGGACATCTGACATGTCTTCGCAGACCTCCTCTGATGGTGCACTGATCCGAATAAAAGCACGCTTGTAAGCGATTGGCGGTAGCTTCTCTGACAGTGCAGCAGTCAACCATAGATCTTCTTCCTTTAGTCTGTGCAGCATAGCTTTGTTTGAAGCAATCGCATCTTCCCAATGTTGGATATGACTCAAGAACCTCTGAGTTATCTTTTTGCATGGCTGATTCCCTCTTCGCTCGTCATGAGCGGAAGACTTTCCCAGGTCCGCCATTTGACAGACGTTGACGAACGGGAGTTACGCTTGTCGATCTTATAGGCGACTTGTCCGGTTTTCCTGGTCGGTCGGGAAGTGAAATCTGTAGGACGAAGCTTGCTTCTCGCTGTGGGAAAGCCGAAGACCAGGTTTGTAGTCTACAAAGCCGTGTTTGTGAACTCGCTGGCAGAACGGACAGCGGATATAGACACTTGAAGCGTTCCAACGTAGGACATCGATATCGATGATGTGTGCGTTTGGCATTGTATGGAGATTGTAAACTTCACTCAGCTCGATCCAAATCTGCCCTTGTAGGGTGGGTGTTCTTCTGGTAAGTCTGGGGAGGAGCAGGTGGTCATCTCAGTCTGAGTCGTAGATACTTATATATTATATGATACATTCCTTTCAGAGCTATGCACCTGAAAAAAAGGTACCGCTACGTTGAGAGCAGCCTCCTACTTTGTCAGTACCTGCCTATCAGTTTGCTTGTAAAAAATGCAGTATTCACTGTTCCTGCCGCGCCTTGCCATGCACCGCAGCCACCATATGAGCCACAGAAGTCTCTTGTTAGACTTACTACAGAGCTAACACAACAATTGGGGGAAATATTCCACTCTTCTAGTTTCGCAATGATGTGGTTATGGAAGACACCACTCATTTATATTGCCTGAAGGATTATGCCTCTTCTGTTCTGCACTTGCGAGCACTGTCCAACAAACTGACTCTGTTTATTCTAATTCATATGGAATATACGTTTTTGAATTTGCTCCTATTGACAGATAAAGGAGGGAGATGTGCTGTAGCTAGTGGTGACTATCCTACAAACAGCACCCTCATCCTCTCGGGCTCTTGGTTACTAACATATAGAAACATGTACAGGGCGGCCGCTGGCCTACCCCCTACCCTCGCACGAGGAGCTAGATAGTCATTCATTTAGAAGAATCGGACCTTCATTGACTTTCAATTTGCCATATAAATTACTAGTGGTTCGGAAACTTGACTAGTGCTAGCGAATTCAACAATATTCAAGGACTCGCCAGATATTCCGCTTCCACTCGAACCTTCTCGCACCATTGCTAGACGCATATACCTTCTACAATAACGTCAACCAGTGTAGGCTATAGCGAGGTGCGAGAACAGAACTGCCAAATTGTATTAAACATTAATTACGCAGCTTCTGCATCGAGAGCTTGCTTGGTTTTATACACAGAACAGCAGGCATCTGGGAGCCTGCATTTCATAAAACCTATTCGATTTGAGACGGCGAAAAAAGGAGAAAAACAACAAGAGGACGTATGGAATAAAAAAGGGGAGTCAGTTGGGTCGGAAAAGACGAGTACCGAGGAGTGAAGGGTAGGATGGAGATATATTGTAGTCTTCTTATTCACCAACGTACACCAGAGCATTTTTGGGGCTCGGGGCGTCTTCCAGGTTTGAAAGGTCTTTTTCAGTCCATGGCTGCTCAATGATACATGGGCCATCTGCAGCATTCTCAAAATTCCTGCTTTCTGAATCTGGTCTTCCTTTATCTTCTTGCCCCTTCTGCTTTGAGGCGTCGGTATCTTCAGGCCCAACGTAAACAGATTGCCGCTCAGGACTTTCGACAGCTAGTACAGTTGATGGTCGTGCCTTAGAGGCTGTTTCAGACAAGAAAGCTTTGGTATTTTGGCCCGTTGCTGTCATCGCACCCACAACACCGGGAATCTTACTTATGAGGCCTTGTTGGGATTTAAATGATTCTGGGTCCAGGATTGCGTCCACAATCAGCTGCTCGCCTAACGCAACGAGGGGTCCGATCATCGGAATGCAGCTTAAAGCAACAGCCGCGATTCCCGAAAGAACCTTCACGAGCCAATTGGGGTCCAGTCCGTTACCTTTATAGTCAAACTGGATCCCGAGCTGCTTGCTGACAAGTTGGTCAAACCGAACCACATCCGTCGAATTCATGGTGCTGTCAGCCTTCTCTGGTTTAGCGCCAGCAAGAGCCTTGCATGAAAAAAGTTTAATGAATTGATACGGGTCTCTGTAGTCGGGCTTTAGTAGGTGGTCCGGAATGGCAAGAACTCGCGTCAAGCTGAATATATCAAAGCGTGCTGTCCACTGTGGTTGGAATCCCCAGCCAGTGGTTGCGTCATTCGGCAAGCATTCATCCTCCTGGAAGAACCATAGCGAACTTTCTTTTTTTTGCCGTTCTTTTTCTTGCTCCAGTATCCCAGGCTCCTGTTTAGACTCTTTGTGGGGATAGAGACCATATGAAGATTCCGCCAGCCCTCCAAAAAGTGATCCCATCGCCCCCCCAGCCTGGGAGCCCGGTTGTCCTGCTATGCTGCCCAGTTGAGATCCAGTTTTCTTCATCACTTCTTTAACCATTTTGGAATAATCTGGTGTGTATGCCTTCAGAGTTACCTTCCTGCTGCGGAAGTCAAGTCGAGAGTACGTGCACATGTTACTGTACTTCGGGTGGGCGAGGTGGGATTTCGGAAAGTAGATTCCTCGTAATGGATATGTCAAATCCACGTAAAGGAAGCGTTCGTCGATGTTCGGAATCAGAACTGGAACCAGGGCTACCATTTGCTTGCCACTTTGAGGCTTCAACTCCCAGTAATCGAACGACCCATGTACAGCCTGCTGGCGAGTAATTTTCCCGCAGCTGGGCCCCGTCATAACTGTCATGAACTTATAACGTGCGTAACTAGTTCTTGCTGCGGGATTCCATTCTTGCTTCTGTGCACGGGGATGGTCCTCCCAAGGAATCTTAGGCACATAGTAACCCTCATCAACAGTGTAGTTCGTCACGACTTCCAGTAGGACATGGCTGTAAAACTGCTTTGGATCCGCAGGATCAAACTTGTCTTTCACCGTTAGAGCCTCGTGAAAAAACCAAGCCTCGCCCTCAGGAGATGCTGCAGCCATGAAGTGGTTCTTCAAAAGTATAAAGAGCACACACAGAAATAAAACCGAAGCCTAAGAAACTTTAGCGATGATGATCAACATGATCGTAGTTCTGGTCTGGAAAGAGAGAAGGGGTACCTTGTGTTTGTGAAGAGGAAAGGGGCGGCTGCTTTGGTTCTAGTTGGGAAACTTGCAGAATTATTTCTACCATTTGTCAAGAGCAAGCTCCAGCACGTCTGTGATCAAGAGAGGTTTGGAGCCGGATACCGCCTGCAAAGAGCAAATTGTCGATCGACCGTTCTGATGATAAATACCTACACCACACAAGCCTGGTAGGAAAATATAGCGATCATGAAGAGAGTAAGTATACCGGTTTCAGTAGTGCCTGGATCATCTATGATGCACATGACCCAGCTGTGCAACCAAAGCTGAGTTTCTCTGGTGGGTCTAAGTCGCATGTGACAGGCGACCCTCAGAAGCTTGTATAGGTGCTGGGAGCTTCTACGAATTGACCTTGCTCTGAAGCGGGTTCACCGAGACGTTGGAGTTGATAGCCGCCCTATTCCAACTAGTCCACTTTCTTGTGAGCTAGTCTAACCGTCAAGTGTAAGTTTTTGGTTGAATAAATTCGCTAATAGTCTGTGGCTCTCCCAGATCATAAACCGGCAGTCAGTGTCAGAGGGACTAAGACGCCCGACCATCATGAAAGAAGGGACAGAGCACTTACATATCACCTTCAGCTGATTGAAAACTATCCAATTATGAGTACTCAAGGTGCGTAGGCTTTGGTTATTTGAGGCCTGTTATACTCATGACTACATAGGCCGGGTTTCCGATGCTGAACATGGTGTGAGCGGCCAAGTCGAAGCAGGCACAGGACACATAACTCGGTATTCTGACGGAAGGCCTGATTAGTGTCATAAGACCTGATTTCCAGATGCGGCTACAGTCAACATGTTCTTAAGGTCCATACCTACAAGGCAATCTTAAAACTTTTCACTCTGATAGCTCAATCCCCACAGCGTTAAAGCTCGTCTCAATTACGAGGAATAGTAGTTTTGGTGATTAATATTGTCATGTCGTTAGCTGGCTGATCCACAGGCGTTTTGGCACTACGCAGCACCACTCATCATAGGAAACGAAATACTAAGGTTACGTCGGCTGTGATGTATTTTGTGACCCAGTCTACAGCCTGGCTTGGTAGGTTGACAGTTGGGTTCTTACGACTATTTTTTAGGATGGGCTTGTAAGTTGTGACGCTACCAGTATATGACATTGTTGAGGAAGATTTCTCGAGTGCTTTTAGTGTACATATTGAGGCTAGTCGAAAAGTTAAGTTTAACTATCACTGCAAATCCAAAAGGGGAGGTTGCTGATTCAGTGGGCGGGCGCCAAACCCTAACTAATCCTTAATTAATAAATAGAGTAAATCGGATCTGCAGAGATGGCTCTTAATCTTTCAGCTAGGCTCAACACATTAGAAGAAGTCTAGAAATCATACTTTCCCTATCTAATTATTGATGCACTGCCTAATCACTGCGGTTATGACAGAACGCAGGTGGTAAATGCACCACTGGCTTTGAGACAAGGGCATGTCTTCATGGCAGAAGCCTAAACAGCCGAAACCGGAATAGGTCCACGGCAGTCTGCGTTTACCAAGCACTTCAACAATTTGGCCTAAAGGTCTAGATCGCGGTGAGAGACAGTCAGTACGCTATATAATATCCGAATGGCCATATCCAGCGTGTAGGAGAGAATATTTAACTTTTTGTAATTTCAGGATGTCCTTAGCTGCAGGGTAGATGAATCGCTGATATACATCGAAGCAACAGTCGGAAGCCGAAAACGTCCAATCATGAATCATCAGCGTCAATCATGTAACCCTGTAACTGGCAACGGCATACTGTATTGAGCTTGACCGCCCCACCATGACAAGTCACTCTATTGCCAGTTAAATAAATCTAATGATCACGCCCAGTACATGGTAATCCCTGACGCTACTAACTGATGTAATTCTAAATTATCGTCTAGGATATAAAGTCAAAGCCTCTATCGCTACGAACCAATGCTCCTAAGGTCTTGCTTCGCATTCCTTCCGGGACCAACGTAACCGCTTTCAGAAGCTTCAAGTCATACACACCGCCCGTGCAGAATCTATCATAATGGATAGTTATTCCAATCAGAGTCTCCAACTCCACAGACCATTTTATGCCCATCTTACACAGACACACAAGGACAATGGTGCAGGTGACTGGCACCGATGGCTTGTTGCCGCCGCCACTCGCAAGGACATGATTATATTCTTTAGAGGATTGCAAAAGTACGCCAAGACCCGCGACGCAAAAATCACTGATGTTGAACCAGTCCATCTTGCGTGGTGGACTTTCAAAGCAAGAGAGGGCTATGATGTGAGGGAGCTTCTCTGTCAGATCTACCGGCTGAATCCATCATGGTATGATAACATTGAGGAGCTAAATGCTAGTCGTGGCAAAATCACTGTCACCGTTCTGAATGATGCTGGCGGAAGGGACTGGCCAATACTTCCTGCTCAAGACACTTCTCTTAGTGATCTTTAGGCCAGTGACAACAACTGTACCTAGGTCTCCATGTGTAGCTTTGGCGCTGTGTACCTATTATGTGTCAACCTGAAGAAGGGCTCTTTCCAAACAATAAAAGTTGATCATTTTATATTGGGATAGACTAATATCAATTCCCCGGCTTTTGTATTATACTCTTCTCGTTTCCTGTTATCATCATTCCTATTGTTATAGACCACGAATGTATGCCGTATATATTCGAGGTACATATGAAAGTATTTCCTGGCTTAGGTAATATTGTCAGCTGTCAGCCGTAGCTGTACTTAAGCCACAATTCTTAACATGGTCAGAAATGTAGCAAACCCGAATATGTTGCTGCGTTTATATGTGATAGAAACTATTCGATCTACCACAATGGGAACGAAATGAAATCATCCCCACCGTAACCACAAGCCCTGGCAACGAATTCAAACTCATGATCGTTTTTCTGCAAGTTGGTAGGTCTGACCATTCCTCCTTCAGTATAAGTTGACACTCTCCATTGCCTGCTTTCTCATCCTCTTCCTTAGCAGCGTCAAACATGTACTGAAGCACTGCCCGACAGCCCATCTGCGTCCCAGCGCGTCGCAGGTAGTTCTTGGTATCCGGTGGCCACTCGCTCCGATTATTACAGCACCACTTGAGATTTTCTGCGGTGGGAACTTTTTTCACCTTGAGACACTCCACAGTGACTTGGAACATATTCCTAAAACCTTCTTGAAGTGACTTGTTGGTTTTGAGGTTTATTTGCACATTAGGATTGAGGTGCACGAGGATGTACTTATTGTCCTTCATCTGAAAGCCGCCATCATCAATATGCTCTTGAATAAGGTTGTACTTAGTCTCCCCATTAAAGACTAAAGAGCTCCTCATCTGTGCGGATAGAAACCCTTCCAGGCACTCTCCGCATGTACTCCTGTATTGGAGGCATTTATTATTTAGTCCTAAAGTATGCCGCTCAGACAGCAAGGAGAGACAGGACATAGCAGTGTTGGGGTACCCTCTAAAGTGGCCTGATAGGTTTAAGACCCTTGGTTAACTTCCCTTTATGTTCACATGGTCTCTAACTTCTCTTGCAATGATTCAAGCGGGGTGTACCTGTTAGTATCACGAGCCGTCTTCCAGGAGTTAGTGTGGTGGACATTCTTAAGTAGCCACTGAGTACTCAGGGGCTTGAGCTCGCAAGCTGTTAGATACAGGAGCGTGGCTTCAGAGTTGGTCAGTCGGTCCCAGCTAATTGGTCATCGGCATGAACCATGAAAAATGCGTAGCTCATCGTCCGCTAGAGTGAGAGCTGCATGATGCAGCAGCAATGTGTTGCGAGGTCTTTCCATCTTCAGTTTCTTTACCTCAGTGAAAGGAGCTGTCTTGTGGAGTTCTTCATCCTCTAGATCTTCGGCATCGTCTCTTCGCGGGTTGAAATCGGAAGCCGCCGCAAGGGAGCGAGACTGATGCTGGGAATTGAATGAAAACGCAAAACAGTGAGATGCTCTGATTCGGCGAGAACTGCATGCTCACTAAAAGTGGATAGGCCTGAATTGAGCTTGTGCCTGTATTATTAAGCGTTCTTCTGCGGACTTGTCTACTAACAGCGATTTAATATCAGCTGTTAGTATTCCAGGACTTACTAGAGCATGTAGAGTCCATGCTCGCTCAAAGGCCTCACTGGAACTGTAGAGAAGATATGCATTCTCGCCATCTCCCTTCTTGTCAAGGTAGAAATGTTTAGCTTTGTTTAATAGTAAAGACACCATTTTCTGCCCCAGCCCTTTCTGATGTAGTTTAAGGGCTGCAACATGAGGTTCCTTAATTAGGAAAAGAGGGCCATGGTCAAGCTTATTTGCCCATATACCAGTCCCTTTTTGCACCGGATAACCATTATACTTGGTCTTAACTGTTCCATATTGATCAAAGACTTAGAAGGCCACATCGCACATTTCCGAGCTAAGCACTTCCATCTTTTCCCAGAATTCAAAGCGCATGCCCTCTCGATGAATATACTGGGCTAGAGCAATGGCGACAGCGGCATCATTGCAAGTGCATTCAGTGACAAAGGTTTTCATCCACCTGGATTGGTCCATTCCCTCATCGGTCAAGAAGAGCTGAATCTTCACCGTTTGTGCCGTGTCACCGGAGATGGTATACTCATGCTCTTCAATATTTTGTTCACGATCCAAATCCTCGCTCTCAACATCCCTCCGCCACTCTTCTTCCTCGGGGTCGTCAAATCCATCGTATTCAGAGCCATAATCCGTCGACTTATCGCCCTCGAAGTCCGCTCCGTCGAAGTCCGCTCCTGGCCATGAAAGAATTGTCAGTATGTTTCCCCTGGATGAGGGTGCTTGGGCAGAAGTGTTAAAGAAAAGTGGGTTTGCCGGAGTCCAGCATATCATCCATGATTCTGAAGATGCAAACCTCCATCAATTGTCTTTGATGGTGTCTTCCGTCGAGCGTGCTATTTCTTTCGATTTCTCCGAAGTGGTCGTCGTCAACCCGGAAATTTGCGGTACCGATGTTTCTGCATTCTCTGCCAATCTTGCGGGTCTGCTGATTAAACTCGGTTTGTCCGTCAGCCAGAGGAATTGGGATACCATAGGAGACGTGTCTGGAAAAGTACTGGTATCCTTTTGGGAGATTGATAGCCCAGTCCTTGGGGAGATGTCGGAACCAGTCTTTGAAGTGGTTAAGGGCATGGGCGTTGAACAGCGCGGGCGTCTTGTGGATCACCCAAGGTGGTCAGGTCTCTGGTCCTTTCAAGCCATATTCTGGCGTTTGCACGGGCTTCTTTCGAGCTCTTCGCTCGGAGAATCCCGAGAAACGCCTCGGCACATTGGACCTATCTCTAAATCTTGATCTGCATTCAGAGCTCGCCGCCACTCTGGTTTCTGAAGTTTTTGAGGGCCTTTTCAGCACAACAGAGCGAGAAACCAGAGATTACGAGTTCGCGGAGGACGAGTGCTGCCTGTACGTGCCACGACTTGTCGAAGATCCGGCGCTGAATTCGGCAATGCGAGCGTTGAATGAAAAGCCTCGACCCGTCATGGAGAAACTGCTCCAAGAAGAGCGACCGTTAAAGATGGAACTTGGCGAGCCTGGTCTACTCAGTACGTTCCAATTTGTCGATGACAAACAATTCCAGGAGCCCTTGGGTGGCGATTATGTAGAAATGAAGGTTCTGTGTACTGGTAAGTGTATCGCGTCACCATTGCCGTGTACCATCCCTGTAACTCACTCCTCGCAGGGCTCAACTTTGTGAACGTGATGGCACCCTTAGGACAAGTTCCTACGCCTACTCTTGGCTGTGAAGTGGGAGGCATCATCACCAAGGTAGGACCGGCTGTGACCAAGTTCAAGGCAGGAGATACAGGTACGCACAATGATTTGCCGCACAATGGCTAGTTTTGATGAGCTAACTTGGGTAGTGGCGGGTATGCTTCAAGGCAGTTTCGGCACTCATGTTCGTATCAGGCAGACCGTCATCCAGCACGTCCCTGCCCATATGACTGTCGAAGCAGCAGCCACCGTCATCACCGCCTTCTCGACCGCATGGATAGGGCTGGTCAGTAGGGCTAGACTGCGTCAAGGAGAAACGGCACTCATTCACTCCGGAGCTGGTGGCGTGGGCCAAGCCGCAATTCAGAGTTGCCAGTACTTGGGCGTGGAGGTCTACACCACCGTGGGCTCCGTAGCCAAGAAAGACCTGCTTATGGAGCGCTACAGGATCCCCGGGGACCACATTTTCAATTCCAGGGATGGCACTTTTGCCCAAGGTGTCATGAGAATGACAAAGCGCCGTGGTGTTGATGTGGTCCTCAACTCTCTGTCAGGAGAATTCTTGCGTCAGTCCTGGCATTGCCTAGCTGATTTTGGACGCTTCATTGAAATCGGCAAACGAGATCTCCTGGGAAACACGGGCCTCGATATGCAGCCCTTCCTTCGTGGTGTCAGTTATATGGGTGTTAACCTCGAGCAGTTCCACCCCACCAGTACAGCGCACATGGAATTGTCAGAGGCTCTCCAAGACATTTTCGACCTCCTCAGCATCAAGAAATTGAGAGAGCTGTATCCTATAACGATCTATACCTATTCTGAGGTAGAGCAGGCTTTCCGAGCGCTACAGTCAGGGAAGGTGCCTGGCAAGATTGTTGTCCGAGCCAGCCCAGACGATATAGTTCCAGTCCTACCCGCCGCCAACCCTTCCTTCACCCTGGATGCCAACGCAACGTATTTGTTAGCCGGTGGCCTTGGGGGGATCGGGAGAAGCATTGCGGACATGCTCCAGTCTCATGGCGCCAGGTACCTAGCGTTTCTCTCCAGGTCCGGTGATTCAAAGCCAGAGGCACAAGCGTTTTTGAAGCAGTTGAGCCGTTACGGTTGCACTGCCAAGGCGTACACTTGTGTCATCTCCGACCGTGAAACGGTCTTTCAAGCAATTCGACAATGCAGCTCTGAGCTACCGCCCATCAAGGGCCTTGTTCAATGTTCCATGGTACTGAAGGTAAGATGAGAATCATTTTCAGCCCTACTGGCGGCCCGTTCAGTCTGACAATGAGTAGGACGGATTGTTTGATAACATGTCTTATGACGACTGGATCACCTGTACCGGGGACGACTGGATCACCTGTACCGGGGCCAAAATTCAGGGATCCTGGAATCTTCACGAGGCCCTGCCCAAGCACCTCGACTTCTTCGTCATGCTCTCGTCTATCTCGGGCATTATCAGGAACCCTGGGCAAGCGAACTACTCGGCCGCGAATGTCTACGAAGACGGTCTTGCTCACTTTCGACGCCGACAAGGGTTGGAGGCAACAGCCTTGGACCTTGGTGCTGTCCGAGACATCGGCTATCTAGCTGAGTCCGAAAACGCCGCTAACATGAGCCATTTGCAGGCACTGCAGGTGAGCGAAGCGGATATCCATAACCTTCTTGAGGTCGTTATCACGCGTCGCAGGCTTGGGGATGATGAAATACCGGCGCAAGTGGTGAACGGCCTGGTTACCGGGGACGAGATGGAGGAGGTCATCCAGCGTACACATTGGGCTCGAGATGTCAAATTCTCGATTCTATGGAAAACAAGCGAATCCAGCGCGGATGCTGGAGTTCTGGCGGGGTTGGACGCCTTCACTAAGGCGGAGTCACTGGTGGCGGCTGCCGCGATCGTTGAAGACCATCATTTCGCGGATTGCCAAAGTGTTGGTGATGCCTGTAGAGGATATCAGTAACACACAACCCTTGCATTCTTATGGAGGTGAGTCCCTTTGGGGCTTCTCATTCCCATCTCGTCCTTCTACCTTTTCTTTTCGACCCCCAGCTGCAAATCCGTTATTCACGGTAGACCCATACTGACTGTCTAACAGTGGATTCCTTGGTTGCAGTCGAAATGCGAGCATGGATGGCCAAAGAGTTCCAAACTGAGCTCTCTATCTTTGACATTCTCAGTTCAATCCCACTCTCGGGTCTAGCTATGAAGATTGTCCAGGAAAGCAACTTGCTGCCAGACAGGCTGAAGCAAGAAGTGCAGGAAAATGAAGCGTCTGCAGAGATCAAATAGGTGGAGCGAGTCTTCTCGCGTCTCATAAATGCAATATTATCGTCATAATGGAAGACTAATACGCTCGAGTAAACGTATATATCATTTCAGTTTAGGAAAAGGGGAATCCGTGGTTTCCCACCCTGTGGAGGAAGGTTTGCTTGATGTATTGTTGGGCGTACAGTTGTATTTGGAGTACTCTAATAGTAAAATTCAGAGACGAGGTAGAGACCAGAGTAATACAAACCAATAATCATCGGAATACCCCCGGTCTTAGCCTTGGGCTTGGGTGCTGATTCTCATCAAAACTTTTGAGTGGACAGCCGGTGTGGATCACATGATGGTATGATGATTCTACCTATAGCTACTATTTTCCCTGGTTGCACTAGAGTTGCAATCGGTCCGAAGGCGACAGCCCCAGTTGGACCGAACCACTGCGATTTCAAGTCCAAATTTTAGAAATCAGAACCAAACCTGATCTGTTCTGATTTGGTGCGAGTTTCACTACAAAATCCGCCCCTAGGCTACTACCGAGCCAGTCTGTACATTCAGCCGTACCCGATTCAGTCCCAACCTGTTGATGCAACAAGACTACCAACGAACTTGGCCCCACTGTTCACTAATCAACGCGAGATACTGTTGAATAGACTCCACTCAACCACACACCGTTTTCTGGCCTCTCTCACTTGTTGGAGTTTAGTTTAAATACCTCTATCATTTAGGACTTATTCCAATGCAACTTTTGACGCGACAAAAAGCCCCTCCGGCGCAGATCTTGCGATTTACAAAATGGCTCAACCCAAGGATGCTGAGAACAAGGAGTCCATCGACTATGAGGGAAGTTGCCACTGCAAGGCAGTGAGTTTCTCTGTGAAACTACCGTCTCTGTTATCACAATTGACGGTGATATCTTGTAACTGTATGTGCATTGGCGCATAACCCCTGCATGATTGTACGCGCGCCGTCTGCGTAATACAAAAAGGCTTGACTGTTATACTAAGAAACACTCCAGGTAGCTATTGTCACATTGCAGGCAGTCTGCTCACGTTCGTGGGTAATGTTAAGATCTATCAAGGAGCGAGTTCACTGAAGGTTAGTGTCTGCTAAAACAGCTACCTGTCCACCCATGAATACTTACAGTCCGCCGTATTGAGCTACTGGTGAAGCAATTGCTAGAACGCGTGGTTAATTTTGCATAGGAATATCGGTTCGGTTCGCATACTATACAGATCTTCTTTTGCGGGACCTGCGGGGCCAATGTATACAACAAATCGCTAAACCCGAAGTTTAGATATGGCGAACATGCTGTTAATGTAGGTCGAATAATTTATTTCCAAACGCTTTGATCTTCTGTCTCTATGGATAACGCCTTGTTAATATCGTGGAAGAGAGCGTACATTTAGGCTAACCAGTATACTGTTGCTCCATTTTAGGTGCGCCTATTACACGGTATTGATTTGGAGACCATAGAGGTTACCAAGGTGGATGGGAAGACAGTACAATTACCTCCGTTAGCAGAGAGACCGCTCTAAGGCCCGCGAATATACTCCACAAGCAGGGAAAATATACGCGTAAAACGCTGCACCACGCCTCTAAAAATTCCCCACAGACAAAGAAAGCTCCAAAGAGGTAAAGCAAGCTGGAGTTCCTGGAGAGACAGTTCAAATTCCAGTGAGAATGACTACTTGAATCTCCTCTGTGTTCTGATTGATGTGTCGCGTTTCACTTTCTTTTAAACAATCAATGTTTTATTCTTTTGCTCACCCCTATCCTATGTAGTGATCTGATGATATTATTTTCGAGGTGGTTTAGACTAATGTACAGTCCCATAGTCAGCTGACTTCACGCTGCTCCCCAATTACTACTGGATAAGGGGCACCACAGCAAAGGCCATGAAATCCGTATTATTCTGATAGTTGAGGAAGTACTCTTGCAATGTCAACAATTTTGAGCAGGGACATATCATGTTGATTAAATGCAGATGAAGCCTAAATGTTTCCCAAGAAAGATCTGGTGTAAAAACCCCCCTTCCCCCGTGAGTACCGTCAGATTAGTCCCACAGACCTCGCAATCTGTCAGATAACTCGGAAATTTGGGAACGGACTGTTCCGATTTCTGGTATGGACGTGATCCAGCATTTGCACAGTGTACGCGGCTTAGACCCCGAGAATGACGATGAGTCGCGGTAACGATCACTGCCATGAGAACAATCCTGCTTGGAAATGAAGAGCCGAAACCGGGCAAGTGAGTGGTCCAGACGAATGAGGAGTTCAAGGCCCCTCAGCTGAACTCCAAGGCGGTGCTCGTCCTTGGGAGCGAGACAAGTGCATCCCGCCACACTACCGGAGGTAGTTGGGGTGGGTTCCTCTGCAGAGCATCGCCCATCATCCATGGTCCTAAGGCTATTGTAGAGCCGAAAATTGAATTCAATAATCCCGATACACATTTTAACCGCCTCTATCACCGCGACCCGGACGATTCTCCACTTGGATTGCTCTGTTCGCTGCTGCTGCGACGATGGATTGTTTTGGAGCACGGAAGCTGTTTGGTTGAGCTTGTCCAAAGTCTGAAAGATCAAGGAGAGCTCGTTTTGGTCAGTCTCAGTGAGTAAATTAAGACTTTTAGATTTGCAGCGATTGTGGAGCTCTCCTTAGAGCTTAAGCGCATTATTGAAGTCTTGTTCGCCATCGGTTTCGGAACTCTCAGTGACATCGCCGGTGACGTAGCAGCTCTCCATCATAAGCGCATCCATTTGAAGTGACTCTGTTGTTTGTGCAAAATCTGATGCGAAGAATCCTATCTGAGCACCAACAGAATTGGGTGTTATCAACTGCCCAAAGCGCTCACTATCGGAGCCAAATCGCCCGGTTTCTTCGAAATTATAACCCGCAGATACGTCAGTGACCGGGTCCTCAGTGAGAGTTTCTGAAATTGGGTGCCATGCCGTACTTTCCCATCGATTCGTTTCATCTGGGACACGGCGACCCGCATTTAACTGGTTCTGTGACGAGTCTTTTGGCGGCTGTGACCCATTGGGGTTTTCTAGCAGGCCTTCCGATTGCGCCAGCATCTGCAGGACAGTGATAGTCTGTGGTAACCCAGCAGAAATTGGCATAGCAGTGTGACTGTGCGGCGCGGCCTTGGTATTGATGGATGACGTCTGTTTTCGGGGTCGTCCAATCTTACTCCGGAGGGAAAAGAGGCAGCGCCGCTGATTGAGCCGGCATGCCTCGCAACTGCTCCCAGATCCGGTGAGCGACGGCTCAAGCTACTACATTGCTTGATGAACCATGATGAGATATCATTCAGAGCTAAGCATTCCATCTTGTTAGTCTTCCTTTTTTGATGCCATCGCAAAGATTGATCTGGACACGCAAAAGGTCCTGATCTGGAGCCATGAACATCATACTCCTGGAGAAGCTGTCTTTGTTCCTGATGGACAAAATGATACTGAAGATGCTGCGTACCTCCTCAGCATCGTTCTTAATGGTGACGCAGGCACAAGCTACCTTCTCTGTCTCAATGCGCGTGACATGAGGGAAGTAAGGCGCGCTGATTGTGCTGCAGCGGTGGGCTTCGGTTTCCATGGAACACATTACCCTCCTCCACAATATAAACCAGTCGTTCCCTCGGCTCCCATCAGTGTCCTTGGTGATGTAGACTCGTAGGGGCTGAAAATCGGAGTGCTGGGGCTACATTAGGACCGCTCACAAAAATAGGCGAATAACGCTGTTGACCGCGGAGGAGAAGCAACTAATCAACCATAGTTCAAGATTGTGCGGGTCGTTGACAAGATCCATCTCATTTTTGTGCCTTTTCTGATCAATCTCAGTGTGGTTGAAGAGGAAGTACATATTATGTATGAATGACAGTGTTTACTTGATTCTGGGGACAGCCTAAAATGGCATTTTCCAGGGGCCGGAACGAGGACTCTGTAGTTGCGTACAGTACGGAATCAGACCTCCATATAACAGGCGCATGCAGAAGTTCGAAACATGTTAATACGTTTGGTATTAATCTCCGACACCACGGAATGCGAATGGAGCAAACAACTGAAGGCTACCATTCCCCATAACCAGTAAGACCTGTCCCCGCACAGACATTGGTCAGAAGAAAGACTTGGTGAGCATATGCCGGGGCGTCATCGTAAGGACAGCGGGTATAGGCAAAAGAGAGCCGATAAGATATAGGTTAATCTGCATACGATCAGTAAAAGCAGCAAAGAGTATTCGCCAGGCAACGCTAAAAATGGAGACAGTTTAAGATGAGCTTTGAAAAGGTAGAGATGGTGCTTCAGGCGATGCGAGTAAAGAGTTCATCAATCAACAGGAAGGCTACTTTATAGCTACAAGGTCCCTCTGTAGATAATTCTCCGGAGCCACTGAGGACGCAAGGGGGGTGTAGAATCCAAGGATATCTCCGAAAAGCCTGTCCTTCTTGCATTAAACAGGTCAGCTCTTAAAAACATCATTCGCCCAACTTGGTCTACAGCAAGATCTACAAATAGAGCTGAAATAAAAGATGAACCTTGACGCTGCAACATCCTACTATTGAAATCATCAATGACGAAACACAACCTAGACCCATCGATGTTGAGCAGATGCTACAGTTGCGATGAGCTTTTACCAACATCTGCTGGACTGCGTTCCCTAGCTTCCGTTATAAGAAGTACCTTAGAGCTAGATATATAAATTAACAACTTCCATCCGCGGACCTTCCAACACGAAGACAGCCACTATAGACATGAGAGTGTTGTATAAATAGAATTCCCTTTTAATGGTTTAGGTCCTGTTATTTCTGTTGAATAATATCACACAGAAACGGTTCACACAAATGATTCATATTATCACGGTCTTACGCCATGACATGAGAAATCCATGTCTCCGCTTCAACCCCCCGCATTCGTCACGGGGAGCAACACTAAATTGCGGGGAGATGGCTGAAGAAATCAATAAAGTTAAGCTCGTCCCCAGATGGAAACATTCAGCCAATAATTTGGCCAGTTGGACGGCTAAAACAAGGAGAAATAACGCACTCGTTCCGGCTTGCCGGGGGAACTGGCCGAGATTTGATTGCCCCTTACCCTTTTGATCACGGACGTCGATAGAGACCGCAATTCTGAAGGCTCATATATTGGACACCAAGCGTCTTTCCACCAATGAGTCTCCTTCAATGGGCTTTAATGCAGAGACGTCCAGCTCTATATATTTTGAGGATCGTCTCGTTAGAATGCATTGTCTGAGGTAACGACCACCGTACAAATTTCCAATCATCTTCCGGTCTTGTGCTCATTACTTGGCCTTCCATAATGCTGGTTACATCAATGGTATCCGTGACTGCCTCCTTGGCTCTGGTACTTGGTGCCAATGCACAAGCATCATTATATGCTCAGTGTGGTGGCCAGGGCTACTCGGGCCCCACCTCGTGCGTCTCTGGAGCTGTCTGTACAGCTTGGAACTCTTGGTACTGTACGTCTGTTGCAATTCATACTATTGAAGCCAGATAATTTCTCATCGTCAACACTTAGATCAATGCGTCCCTGGAACAAGCACTCCACCGAGTACCACAACAACCACAGCGACCACAGCGACCACAACGACCACAATTACCACAACTACCACCGCCACACCCACTGGGTTAAAGTACTTCATCACTTTGTGAGTTTCCCTCAGCTTCACGCCGGACGTTCTTGAACTCATCAAGCTAGTGGCGACTCCTACTCGCAGACCGGATTCGACATCGGCAGCACCAAGCCCTCCGCCTTGAATCCGCTCGGGAACCCCAGTATGCCAGGATGGACGACGAGCGGAGGCTTGAATTGGATCGGCTTCCTCATCTCAAAATACAACACGTCCCTGACCCTCTCATACAACTTTGCCTACGGTGGAGCGACGACCAACGCCAGCCTTGTCGCTCCATATACCTCTACCGTCCTTAGCTTCATCGACCAGGTCACCGAGTTCACCAACAGCATCGCCTCGAAGCCATCTTACGCACCGTGGACCAGCAAAAACACCCTCGTTGGGGTCTGGATGGGCGTAAACGACGTCGGCAACTCGTACTGGCAGTCCAATATTGACGACCTTCTCACCAAGATCATGGATAGCTACTTTGGGCAGTTGCAAATTCTGTACAACGCTGGAGTGCGCAACTACGTGCTCCTCGACGTTCCTCGTAAGCCTTGGTTCTCTTTGATTTCACGTGTGGATTCTAATAGTTTACAGCAATCCAACGCTCCCCACTCATGCTTTCCCAAGGCACCAGTGCCACTACCGCGGAAGCAGCAGTGATTGCAAAGTACAACAACCTGATCGCGACATATCTCGCTAACTTCAAGTCCAAGAATAGCGGTGTCACAGCGACAGTCGTGGATACGCAGGCGCCGTTCAATAAGGCATTGGATAATCCCGCGGCATATGGTGCGGCCAATGCCACCTGCTATAACAGCGATGGCACCGCCTGTTTGTGGTTTAACGACTACCATCCGGGCATTGCAATCCACAATCTCACGGCACAGGCTGTTGCTTCTGCTTTGAAGGGGTCTTTCTTCTAGGCTACTCTCCTTATACCACTGTACATAGTCATTAGTGATCAATTCTGAACCCAGCAGCATCCTTACAAGGAGTATTCAATTCTCTCAATACCTCCATGGCCATGAATTGATTCCCACTTAGATCTTTCACAGTCATCAACAAAGAGTTTTCCCGATTCCTTCTTGGCCTGCCGGTTTTATTGAGTAGACAATATCCATAATGTTTACGCATACTGTCCTGTAGTATGGACTGGCAAATGATACATCACCTCTCCAATCACCAGGAATTTGGTGTGTCATCCATTTGATCTCTGTACTTTCGAGGGTCATTGACTCATCCATTTCGTACAATAAATACGCCAGGAAACAGCTGGTATGTCCTTCATGGGTAAAATCGTAAGACACATCACACTGTTCCAGACTTGAGTCGCCGAAGTCCCGCCGGATCAGGCCGCTTTTCAACGAGTTCACAGGGGATCACATCATCACACTCAATGATCTGCAGCGGCAAAAGCAATACAAGCTAGTGATGCAGCCTTTGGGAGGACTCATCTCAGTTCAATCATCATGTGCGGTGGCGTACCACCTGCATCAGCATCACCTGCAAATGACCCAAGCCATGCTCCTGGCTGCATATGGTAGACATGAGAGTGCAGATCGGAGAAGCTGAATCCGATCGCGAGTGGGCCTTGACACCAACAGGAATCAGGATGTGATTCCTGCAAGGGATACACAAGCTCCTCTTTGGGTTAGAAGGAATGGTCCGGCCGTAGGGCCAGCCATGGACGTCGATCATAAGGGATGTCTCACATTGTTAATTGGAGCCAGGAACCATTTCCTTTGCTTTTTCTCGCGGTGATTGGTTGGGTTGCTGATATCACCTGGTTTGAGATGTGATTCAGCTGACTCCAATAATAGGTTATTTCGTAAACATTCTTGGTCTGAAGCCTGCATTCCAGGGATATTTCCGTCACCCGTCAGCATAAACCAGAAGGAAATGTATAAATTGCGGCCTGGAAGATGTCCTCAACCAAACCAGAGAGTAGTATCAAACGATGTATTCATACACGATTGGGGGTGCTCTTTTGACCGCTTGCTGCCTGTCGGCCCTGGCGACGGCGTCGAGTTCTGATCATCATGCCGACGACAATCCCAGGTACTCCTTTAACGATCTTTGGTCTATGGAGAAAAGTTTCTGGGATAACTTTCTCTACCCGGCGAACCTAGCACAGATCAACGCCACGGATGACTCTGTTTTTGCCGAAAATGTATTTCTTGCTGATCGCCGATGAAATCAGGATCACACTGACATACTGGTTTAGGTCCAAGGTCGAGTGGACATCACACGCACCTTTGACGGCCGCGAGCTCAACAATGAATATATCTTTGGACTGTTCTCCGAGCCAGAACATCTTAGTCTCGTGGGCGTCCCCATCGCATACAACATCACCCAGTTCACAGCCAACAGCAACATCGCCTCGGCCACGACAGTTGTCACCTTCAACGCGACCTCCTTTGGAATCATCATCCCCGTAACCATCGACACCTGGATCGAATGGGACGCGCAGAAGAAGATCGTGCAGTACGACGCCACATTCCGGTGGTTCGGGTTCCTCCTCGACGCGCTTCTCAAAGCGCAAGCCGCGAGGATGAATACCACCGACCCGGCCGTAGTGCAAGCAGCGCTTACGCAGCAACTAGCAAGCACAATCTGCCAGACACACGAGGACTACTGCAAGGGGGCGGACCAGCAATACGAGAGCAAGGACGCCTGCATGGATTACCTGACCACCAAGACGCGGTTCGGACAGGCGTTTGAGCTGGGCCGGGATACCTTGCTCTGTCGCGAGGTACATGAGCATATGGTCAAGTACCGGCCGGATATACACTGTGCGCATATCGGGCCTACGGGGGGTGACTACTGCGTGGACGACAAATCGTATGAGCAGGTGGTGCTGGAGAGGTATTTCCGGGACTCGTTTATTGCGTATGGGTATGGGGAGGAGCAGAATATCTGGGTTGCGTAGATGTAAGGCTCATGCTGTCAAGTTGTCATCGTTCTAGTTAATAGGAGAGTTATACTGCAATTTCCCCCTCCTTCTCTCTCCAGAACATCCAAGAAACAGAAATAATCAGCTTCAATCCAGCAGCCAGCCACAGCGCAGGCGAGATATCGTGCGTCGCTTTGGTGATCCATCCTCCAGCAATTGCACCGATCAGCGTCAGGACAAACGCCACCACTCGGCGATCCCGCTTCTCGTTGCGAAGGAGAAACAGCTTCGGGTCTGAGACAAGATCACAGAGAAGACTGGTGATGACCACGGTTGGAATCTCGTTGAACCCCAATGCCCGACTAGCGACGATCTGACCTGCAGACTGGATACTCAAGAGCACAATGGGGGCTTCCTGGCTCCAATGCATCTCGCTCGAAGCAGGGTTCGAGGGGATGCCAGGTATTACGCCGCTCTGTACCAGCGAAGCAGTGATTACCAGCATAGCAACTTGTAGAAGGAAAGAGAGGACCAAGGTGCCTCGGCGCTTGGGTCCGAGAAGACGGTTCAGCCGAGCGAAGAGAAAACAGCCGATGACGAAGCATCCGATCGAGGTGAGGGAGCGGGCCCAGCCGTATGGCTTAAGGTTCTGGTTTGAAGCGCCCAGGCCGACGAAAATGGTGTTTCCTTAAAGATGAGCCGCGTTCATGATGTCGTTCTGGTTGACTTACCCGTTTGCATCGAGACGAAGGTGTTGTAGGCTGCGCAATCAGTGGCTGCAGGATAAGATGGATAACGGGACTGCTTACCATTGTAGAGGGTGCTATCTACAAGACCAGAGCTCAGGCAGCAAGCATATAGGAGCACCTCTGCGTTTTTGGCATTGATGTCTGTTTGGAAGAAACCAGAAATGTTCTTCTTGGGGTCCGACGAGGTGGACATTGTGGTGATCCTTGATCAAAGAGTAAAGAGGAACGAAATTACAGCGCCGCGAGATACTGGGAGACCGTGGGATATTCTCAAAAGAGACGATTCCAATCCCCCTCGTATCGACGTTAGATTTTCACCACTAGCTTGATTAAGACCCTCACTTTCCGTAGCATTGTGCAGCGAGATTAGCACGGATTTACCCCATAGCAACCCGGAGCAGTCGGTCCCGTCTAATCAGTTCATTTATTTCGGATTCCGGCATGATTCTCACATAATAACCCTTCTTCGCGCCATTCGGGCTGCTCAATGAGGGGTGACGATGGCGCCGAGACTACATCCCTGGCGCCTAGCGTCTTGGCCAGTTCACGCCGGAGGAAATTGTGCATCAGGGCTGAGTCGAGCTCGGGGTGATTCGGTGACTGGAGAGGTCAGAAACATTGAATGGCTGAAAAGACACGGCCTCCATTCCAACGACTCATGTCTCCGTCAACAATGAGCCAGGCATTGCGCTCCACAAGATCCAGCACGTTCGACCTCGGTTCCTCCCCGACCACACTTCTAAAATCTCCAAGACGCTTGGCTAGCAGTGCGATACTGTGATTACCCTATTTGGGGGACTGCGCATTTTCTCGGGGTATCCCAGCAGGAATCTGTAGACCATGGACTCAATCGTAGATGATCTACACGGTCCGAAATCCAAAAATGACCGCCACGTTTTGACGAAAGCAAGATTGTAAAACGCGATCGTCGCTGGTCAATGGCACGTACAGGTTGCAGATCAACTTCTTCACGGGCTTTTTCCGCCTATCAGCACGTCGAATGCAGACGCACACCATTCCACTTGGCCTGCGAACTTTGTGGCTATGTTGTATCACGCTAGCTACACCAAGGACATCGTGAGCCGGGGTCCTCTACAGAGGAATCCTCGTTGGCTGGATATCGTTCGGTCCGGAGTCCGGATTTTGTTGTGAATCATCCTCGCCAGACGGGTTGTGCTTGCCACTGGATGGATAAGGGCGTCGCATGAAGCATCCACAATAATGCCTGCATTCTGGGCGCGCCTGTGTCGTCAGCAGCCAAGCGAGGTTAATATGGATGATAAGCACGAGGATATGGTATGATATGGCCGAGTTGGTTGCTACGAGTCGACATGGAGGGTATTATCCGCGGGTCTGAGCTGCGATAACGAGACCTTCTCGACCAGGGCTACTCGTCCGACGGAGAGAGATTGCACCGAGAACAGGGGATTGCAACGGAAATGAAGTTATAAAAGGGTGGATCTAGTCAGGCCAGATCACGGTCTTCACCAACTATCCTCTCCAACCTCTCAATACCACTATCTTCTCGGTACTTTCTCGGTACTTTGCCAAAATGAGCATCACCATCACTGTGGAGAAGGACGGCTTCTACGAGATTAACGGAGAAAGCCGTGAGCCCACAATCAATCTGTACATGATTGCCGGGGCTACCAAGCTCCGCAGACAGCTCCGTGAAACTGACGAGTTGATCGTCTGCCCGGGAGTCTACGATGGCCTGTCCGCACGGATTGCCATGCAACTTGGCTTCAAGGCCCTCTACATGGTATGCATACTCTCCCTACCTCCCCCAATCGCCTTCAGTGCCCACGCTGATCTCGTAGACCGGTGCGGGAACAACCGCCTCTAGACTCGGCATGGCAGACCTCGGGCTGGCCCAGCTGTACGACATGAGGACCAATGCGGAGATGATCGCTAACCTGGATCCCTTTGGCCCTCCTCTGATTGCTGATATGGACACTGGATACGGAGGTATGTAGCCTTCCGGATCTCCTCAACTCAACATTCCTTGGCTAACCTCTTCAGGCCCCCTCATGGTCGCAAAATCCGTCCAGCAATATATCCAAGCCGGCGTGGCCGGTTTCCACATCGAAGACCAAATCCAGAACAAGCGCTGCGGCCATCTTGCAGGCAAGAAAGTCGTCTCCTTGGATGAGTACCTCACGCGCATCCGCGCCGCAAAGCAGACCAAGGACCGCCTCCGCTCAGATATTGTGCTGATTGCCCGCACCGACGCGCTGCAGCAGCACGGCTACGACGAGTGCATTCGCCGTCTCAAGGCGGCACGGGACATTGGTGCGGATGTAGGATTGCTGGAGGGATTCACCTCCAAGGAGATGGCGCGCCAGGCTGTCCAGGATTTGGCCCCGTGGCCATTGCTGCTCAACATGGTTGAGAATGGGGCCGGTCCAGTGATTACAACAAAGGAGGCTAAGGAGATGGGGTTCCGGATTATGATCTTCTCATTTGCCTCACTGGCTCCTGCGTATCTGGGCATCAAGTCTGCCTTGGAGCGGCTGAAGAACGAGGGAATCACGGGCATCCCTGAGGGGCTGGGGCCCAAGAAGCTGTTTGAGGTTTGTGGGTTGATGGATTCGATGAGAATCGACACAGAAGCGGGAGGAGATGGGTTTACCAACGGCGTCTAATTAGATTTGAGATATTTTGTGCATTTCGTCGAACGCAACTTGTTTCCCACTGTATATTCATGACTGAGCCAATAAGTATTCAGATGGCTAAATTGAACTTCATGTCCGGCCCATCAGACTATTGCTGAAGGCGTTCGTAATATCAGGATTCGTGGAGGATCTACAGCCCATAGTGCCCGGCATATCCTGCAGTGATGCAAGAACCGTCATGGTTTTATCTATAGTGGCAAGGTCCTACAAATCAGCAAACTAGCAGCCTGAAATATTGTGTGATTGTCTCACATCCTCGCCCAGACTGTATACATTCTTCCCAGACCTCAAAATATCCCGAATACTGTGCTTCTTTAGTCCGTCCCAGCCAACTGTATGGCCACTGGTGCAAATGATACTTCATGCTTTACTTGCTGACTAGAAAGATTGCTCATGCAAATGTTCGAGTCGGAATATTAAAGCAAGGAGCTTATAGTTAATGGTCTATCTTAGCTACTGACAGTTTCGTTATATAAACAGACACTATTGCAAGAGCTCGTCCACAATATGACTATACGCACACTCAAGGACTTGCGGACGCAGCCGCCTCTTTCTGCTCGCGTCTCTTCTTCACATCTTCGGGCCGCACGCTCTTCCACTCGGCGCCAAAGGAGACCAAGAATGCCAACCCAGCCAGCGCAATACACCAGATCCATCCGGCCTTGATGCCGTTCATATACGCATGCACCACCGCAGCGAGATCCTCCTTGCGAGGGAACGCACGCGATAGTCCCGTGGAACCAGCGGCAAGGACGTCCGCGACAGGGATGTTGGGGCTTTCCTTTCTCAGCGTGTTGATGATGACGTTGTTCATGATGTTAGTGGCGGCTGAGACCCCGACAGTGCCGCCGATGAATTGGAAGACTGCGACTATTAGAGTACTACTCCGTAGTGGTGGATGCGGAACAGAGTTGACTCACAAAGAACAGTCGCCAGCGTCATGGACATGTCCACGCGCGGAGTGATTGCCTGGGCCACGATGACATTGAGCTGGATAATGAGTCCGGAGCCGATAGCGGCCAGGACCTGGTAGCCGATGTATTGGCCTGCTGTGGCAGCCGGGCCCATGGTGTAGATCAGTCCGGTCCCGACCGTGACGAACATGGCCCCTAGCATGAGGAAGGGCTGATAGAAACCGACCTTCCCAAGGAGGATGGATCCGACGAAACTAAAGATGGCTGGATTGGAGGGGTGAGGGTATGTTAGACGGCAGGCGTGAAACAAGGCAAGGCGCACTTACAAGTGGTCAGCACGGTGGGCAGCGTGCGAATACCCGACTCGGACGGGGACTGGCCTTGACCGGCCTGGAAAAAGATGGGCAGATTGTAGATCCGCGCGAATCCGGACCCCTGTGCGGTCAGGTTGAATAGAGCGAGGACGAGAATGCTTCGGCGTTTGATGATGCGGGGGACGACCATGGCCCCTTCGCCCTGCTTCCATTCCATCAGGGCAAACAAGATCATGAGGAGTCCGAACCCGACGAGCAATCCGATTGGGACACTGCTGTGCCAGGGATGTTTGACACCACCATCCTCGAGGGCCAGAAGAAGACACACCATGCCACCCACAAGGACCACCATCCCTGGAAAGTCGAACAGAGTGGGGATCTTATCGAATGTGGTGTGTGCCACGCGTGAGTGAGGGGGAGTCTTCAACAGAAGCAGGAGAATAATCGACGCGGCACCCCCGATGGGCAGGTTGACCCAGAAACACCATCTCCAAGTCACATACTGCGTGAAGACCCCACTCAGGATCGGACCAAGTACGGAAGACACACTCCAGACCGCGCTGGTGACGCCAAAGACGGCGTGTAGGTACTTAGGCCTTGTGATAAAGGCAAGGATGGTATAAACACCGCCGGTCACACCGGCACCACCGACACCCTGGATGGCTCGACCCACGATGAGGGCTGGGCTGTTGGGCGCGAGGGCGGCAATCAGACTCCCGAGCTCGAAGACACCCACGGCCGTGAGAAAGGCGGTTTTCAGGGGGAAGAACTTGTACGCTTTCCCCCAGAATGCCTGAAAGGTGGCCAGACACAAGAAGAACGCAGAGCCGTACCAGCCTTCCTGGTCGAGACTGTGGAACCTTTTGGTGATTGTAGGGATCGCAGTGGTGATAATGCTCTGGAAGTTGGAACGTTGGTTAGTTGCCGTAAAGCCATTGAACACCAAGACACTCTCACCATGTCCAGGGCGACAAGAAACATTGCCAGGAGCAATGCAACCGTGAGCACTGCCCCTCGTAGAGGGTCCGGGTACTTGACCGTAGGAGGACCAGCAGGCGGTGCTGCCGTTGCTTCTGGCTCTTTCTTTCCCGCCGCATCGATCGTGTCATCATCGGATGGAGGAATGGTAGCCTCTGTTTCTTGACTGGAAGGGGCGTTAGCTGCTGGGACTGCATCCTTTAGTTCAGACATGGTTGGATCGTGTCTGCTGCAGTCAATACGGTTTTGAGTTGACTGTATACGTATTCTTGACTGCAGGCGGAGGAGAGGATTTCTCTATCTACGACTCTGCCCTTAGATACCGGGAACTGCCCTTTCTAATCTTTCCTCTCATCATGGCAAGCTGCTCCAGTTACCTCTTCGGGCATGTTTGCAGTCTCCCGTGGGGATGGAAGAAAACCCCTACCTCTTGCGACATGTGGTGATTTACCCCAAGCAAAACAAACAGTTGCGGAATACTCACTTCCACTTGATTCGTCAGGGTCTAGGGGGGCCGATTAATCCGGGCGACAGCTTGGGCCTCCTCTCCAAAAGCCAGTGTTTGCATCTGCAGCCACGCCTCTGTTGGCGGGTTATGATTCGACATTCTGGCAGGGGTCAGATGGAAGAAAGGAGCCGACCCTGCAGGCTCGGCTCCTTTCTCGAACTGCCATTCGTGGGGCTGTCGGCGCGCGAGGCATTTCACGAGTTTGTCCGGTTTGATTGATTTGTTTCATGAGTCCGCATTGCAGATCTTGCTTCCGTTTCTATATCGAGATACTATGGGGCATGGAGTCTCGGTCCGGACACTATCGCTAGACTAAGGAGTACCTCGTCCGGACACTCTTTCGATCTGGTGGTATTCGTATTTCTGGCACTTTCTTGGTCTTGAGTCTAAGAAGTCTTAGCTGTCTTGAGTCTCTTGGCTCTTCAATCTGACCCGCAGCTAGGCTATCCAGCCCCTTGTCATTTTGAATGAGAACGCAATAATCTGTCAGAAACGACGTAATCGAGGACTATTCGTGTATCTGAAGAGGAAAATCGCTTGGCGACGTCTATGTGTGCCATGTGCTGCATCTCCTCTTAAGTTGACGGATGGTCTCTTCGCACCCTCCTTTGCCAGAAATATTCATATACATGCCCTGATAAGTATATACACACTCCCAGAAACAGACAAATCTCGAGGGAATGACGGTCCAGCTAAGCACAAAGGGTCTGTGGTAAGATAATTGGCACTGAAACTTTATTAGGCCGAGGCCGCCCCCATTCTAGAACAGCTAGCTAACCAACGGAGAAGAGGGGTCAATCCCCCCAGCGCCGAATACGATATCGCAACACCAAAGAACACTTCCAATCATCGCAGAGAGAAGATACGCCTACAGAGCTATACGAAGACAACCCTGCATCCGAGCCACAATGGCAGAATACGTTTCGGTCACCAGTGCATCCTGCAATATACTTACTACCAATAATAAATATGCGAGGTCAGCACCGCTGCTGATAATACAAGATAGCTGTAAATGATCACAATTGATCACCCGCCTGCCATGTCCGAGGTGAAGTTTCGGTCCTCATGCGACTCGTGTCTCAGCACCAAGGTCAAGTGTAGCCAGACGAGACCAGCATGTGCCAGGTGCACTCAACACGGTCGCCAGTGTGTATACAGCCAATATCGCAAGATCGGTCGTCCCTCTGCGAAAGCGCTAGGCGCGTTGACCGTGCCCAGGGGCCAGCTGCAAGACCGCGCTGAAAAGCCCGGCCGAAGACTGAAGAAGAGTCAACAACAGCACAGTCCACAGCTTCCTGTGGAACACTCGCCAAGAGGCACGGAACCACTTCTGCCCCCGCATGTTTTGAGTGAACCGCTGGGGAGCAGTGTCAACCCGAGACATCTCTTGAATAACTTTGGAACTCCGGCGGGTACCGGGACCAGCTCCGTTCTGGAGGAATTTCATCCTGGCGACAATCCAGCATCATCTGCGGGGGATTCTGCTTTATCCCTCGACCAGAATATGTCTGACTCCGGAATTGGGGCGAGTCTGGCCAGCAGCCTTGAGTACGGGATAGGGGACGTTGACTGGGCTACGCTACAGGGTTTAATTGATGGATCAGCGTCCCAAGAGCTAAACCTTGCGCCGCAAGGGCAGTATTACGGCCCCACAGAGCCCCGTTTCTGGGGAAGCCAGCTGTCCCCAGTATGCCTAGACCCTGGGCCCACCGCGCAGATGGAACGTCTTTTCTCCCCCCTCCCCAGCAGCTATTCTCTATTTGCGGGGGATCCTAACGTAGATTCTCCTCGTCGACCGACCTCGGCCTCTCGTCCCTCGGGCCCCCTCTTCGGCGAGTCGAATACGTTCCCCCTCGGTGCCCGCTGCACATCGCACTGCTACGGCGGCCTCACCAGCCAGCTGACCAAGATCTCCGAGGTTCAGGCCCTGGGAACCAGCGTGGCCCTAGATGTCCTCCTCAATCTTGACAACCAAGTCAGCCGCGCTCGGGACAAGATCCTCCGCTGCCAGTCCTGTCTCGCGGCTACGGGATGCGCACAGACGCTGATACTTCTGACGCTCGTGGTGGCTAATGTCCTCAGCCTGTTCGAAAATAGCTGCAGCGGGTCTCTGGAGGAGGGCCAGAGCGAGGTCGACAGAGGCTGTATACCGAGTGCTGATTCACCCATGAGCCGGGGCTCGTTGTCGGATGCCAGTGACTCGCGCGGTGTGCTCCCGTACACGACGCGTCCGCTGGTGCTTGGGAACGTTCAACT